AACAAAGAACTTCAATTCGTCAAATTAATCCTGGTTGTCTTCTAATTTGGCAAATTCTGAGGCTTGATCAGTAGTGGACAGATTTTGGTAAAAACCATGGCAATCACTGTCTATCAAGGTGGGCATTGAAAGAAGGTCTCTCTTTTTCAAGGGATTGATACCTAAGGGTCCAGCATATAATAAGGGAACGCTTAAATTATTTAAATTAATTTTCCGTCCTGTAACGGTCCAAAATTACACAACTAATTCTTACCTACTTTCAATTTTATATTCAAGATTTCCTTAAATTTGTCAACATTTTCTCTCTATAAAATTTCATCAATAATCTCAACGGTTGTAGATCCTTTAAATTTCCTAATTTTCAATGGGCAAATTCTATTTTCATTTGTTACTAGTTCCTGTTAATCCATGATTTAATTCAATTTCAAAATCAAAACAAATCAATATTTTGATTCCAATTTTAAATTCAACCATCCGTTTTTCATAACAAAAATAATTAATTCATGTGTCAAAAATATTTCGTGTTCCGGAATCATAATGACCCGTTTTCAAGTGTATGTACAGAACTACTCCGTTCGTACTTACTCTGTTCGGTTATTGAGCGCTATTGATATCGGAGCAAGTTCTAGTGAACCCCGGGTCGATCATTGGTTCGATAGCCTTTTGAGATATTTTGTGCACTATCTTTGCTTTCGGTTTTTTTGACTTTTAATTGTCAACAATTTCTGTCAACCGGCTGTCGATTAGTAATGTTTTTAGTATCGTCGATTCTTTTTTTTAAGCCCTCTAATTTTGCAAACGGATCACTTACTCTATGTTGTATTCTTCAAGTTTTGATTGTTTTATGGGATAATTATTTGTTGTTAATATCATTATTCGTCAGCCGTTGCCATTTTTCTCGGTTTGTATTGTTGTGTGCAATTTTTGGTAATTAAAAATTCTATCGATTAATTTTTGATGTTTGTCGTTATTCTGAATCATCTCTGAGTCTAAATTCCTCCCTTTAGGTTAGCCTATTAATCGAATGTGTAGCACATTTCTTTTCACATCTGGACGTTGGAGAAATAAGGTCTTTTGAAGATTGTATTCGCCCTTGTGGGATTTTGACCTTATATTCTCAATTGAAGTTATAACACATTTAGTTGCCTTTTTTGCCTTACGTTTTCGTAGTGTTATAATTTTCGCCGATTAATTCGGATTTTTACAACTCCATGTGGTAAGTTGCTTACACGTTTTTTTTCCCATAGTAGATTCTGACTTTTTCAATTTAATTTAGTTAAAATCTGCCCTAAAGAGTAGAGTATTCTCACTCACTCTAGGATATCCAATCCTCGATCCAGATTTCCAGAGATTTTCGAGGCAAACAAACCCTATTTCCAACAGGTAAAAACATAACCTTATTACTTCAATTTTTGCAAACTCGAGGCACATTTTTCTTAATTAATATCAAAGCTTTATTATGATTTCATGTAATTTAATTAATTAATACCCTAATGTTCAATTTTTCTATTAAAATAATTTTCAAGAGCTATAGTCTTTTATCAAGTAAATTTGCTATTGGAAGCTAATTGAGTTACATTATAGTTTCATTTTCTAATTCAATCTATTCATGAAGTGCTTCGCTATTGGTTCAATTACAAATACAGTGTGTATAACAATTTTTCTCTTAGGGTGTTTTTTTTACGAGGGGTTTTATTTCACCACCGAGTTTTTACTCCCGGTTACAACAATAGACGTTCAATCGTAACCGAAATTGAACTAAAAGGCTATTAGACACCAGCCTAAGTAATTGGACGGTTACTCAGGTCTTCAATCAACTTAACCACAACCAGTAGCCAGGACTAATCTGGTTAATTGTAAGAACTACCATCACCTGGAACATTTTGGTATCGTACTAGTTTTAGTTAACCTATATATTATTATTGTTTGTTTACATTCTGTCTCTATTTGTGCACCACAGTGATCACTTTCGGGATTTCAGGGAGTAATTCATTGCTTGCCCCAGTGTGGCAAATGAATTATTAAATAGGTAACTTAGCTAGACATAATCTGATGAATTTATGTCAACCTACTGGTAGTTCTGGTTACATAAGTGTAAGATAACCGCTCCAACAACTTATTATTCATTTTTTTTTTTTTAATTATTCCTCTTCAATTTATATTTACAACTTTTCTATTTATACCTTTTTTTTTTTATTATTCATTTGGTTATTGAGTTTCAATAACATTTTTGCATTTAAATTTAATTGTTCATGACTATAGCAATTATTTCAAAAGTATAGCATTTCTGTATTTGTTGGTTGACGCTTCATTACAAGGTCATTTTATTAATTGAATTGATGACAATTCATTTTATTGAATGGCAAATTAGTAAACAGTTTTCACACTTTGGTAATATTGCTAATTTACTTGATTATTCTTTTTTTTTTTCTTAATTCAAATTATTGTTCATTGTGGACTGCGGCCATTTGGTGAATAAACAACTGTAGCACTTGCTTTCTTGACTTTTATTGGGTTTTATGCACACAGCCTGGTTTTTGCTAATATTTTTCTTTTTTTTCTTAATTATTATTTGAATTGTAAGGACCTGAAGCCAGATACCATCCTGGAGAGTCCGACTCATCTGTTCAGAGTCGGTGGCGCCCAAAACTAAAAACCCACCCCCTACTCTCCGAATTATTTAGTTCTGAGCTAGGGCATAATTTGCACGCACTTTGACCTTCAGTCCTACAATCTCGAGTTCTCATTTCATTTATTTTTATTTTTTTTTTATTTTTTTTTTCTCTTATTTTTTTTTTTAAATAAACTTTTTTTAATCAGCGAAAAAGCGTGGCAGTCCTCTTGCCTTTCCACGTTTTAGATCTAAAATTTTGAACGGGGCGTCTTTAGCCAATGTATAGGGGAGAGTGTTGTACCTCGGGACTTTTTGGTTAACCCATTCACTGCTCACCATAAAATAGGCACTTCGCCAGACGCTAACCGGGTATTCATTTTCAAACAATTAAAGAGAAGTGTAGATTGCTGTTGGTGTATCAATTTTTGGTTTTTTGTTTTTCTTTCAAAAAAAGACGTAAAAGCGTGTATACACGTCTTGAGCACCCGTTATGAATTTTTTCGCCTGGGTGCTCAGAGACGTGTTTACACGTCTCGTGATATTTATAATAATTAAATCAAAAGCAACTTCAAAATGCAATATTATATTCCCTTCACAAACTTTTGGAAAAGAAAAAAAGAACACTGAACAAAAAGAAATTAAAAATTCTGGAAAAAAATCAAAAATTCAAAAAAAACAAAAGGAAAATTCTGGAAAAAATGGAAATTGAACAAAAAACACTATTTGTGAAAATCACTGAAACATTCCACACAAAGGGCCGGTTGGTTTGGACATCTTGGACAATAATACCGGGTTTCCTTCCTTACTTTCGCCTTGCTACAGTTTTGGCATTTTCTGTAAACCCGTTTCCATTTACCGTTTGCTGGGGTTTTTTCTGGCAAATGCACGGAATCAATATCCTGTCGCGGAATACGGTTCTGGGGAGCTTCCGTCACCTCAAGCAGATTCTCGATAATCTTCAGCCTGAAGTCGTAAAGGTTCATACGGTCATTTCCTGAATACTTATTGTAGAGAAAGTAGGAATTTAGAAGCAGCATTTGAAATATGTGTATACCAAGCTTCAGGGGCCATCTCAAAGATTTCTTACTGCATGGGTAATATGCTAACATTTAGTCCTGTTTGTCGACTCCTCCCATGCTTCTATTATATTCGATCACAGGTACTGGCTTCTCTCTTTCTTCTCCTCTTCTATTCCGTACATTCCTCATATCATTGGGAAATTCAGAAGAGATGTAGGTAACATCTCTTTTGTCCCTCCATTTGCCTACCAATACGCCCTCTGAGTACCTTCCAATGGTTTCACCTTTGCGCAATTTAGCAGAATTCACTTCTGCCGGAATATCCTTTCTGTCGAGACGTGCTGTACCTACAATATTTCATGGACTTGTTATTGATATGTATGTATGTATGTATGTATGTATTTATTGTTGTTTGTATGATATGTGTGTTTTGTATGATATGTGTGTTTTTTATAAATTATATTATGAGTGATTTTATGAACAAACCTGTCGTGTAAGTGTTTGCTGACAACAATTCCGAGGTCAAAGCTACACTGGTGTAATAATTATCAATATATAACGAATGCCCAGCGTTGAGCTTTTCTTCCATGAGATGTAAAACTATTTTACTTGCATGCCCCTTTCCTCCAAAATCGTCCAGTGACCCTGAATATATAACAAATTTCAGAATCATCCCATTGGGTTCGCACAACATGTAGAGTTTTACTCCATACTTGTGTTTTTTATTCTTGATATACTGTCTGAATATCAGGCAACCGCGAAATAATACCATTGATTCATCTATACACAAATTTTTATCTGGATAGTAACTCTCATTCATTTTCTGATTGAAGTAATCAACGAGAGGTCTTATTTTGTACAATCTATCATCTGGTTTCCTTTCTCCCTGAAGGGGGTTTCTTGTAAAATGGAGGCATCTCAGGATCAGCAAAAATCTGTCACGGCTCATTTTTGCACGAAATAATGGGAAATTGAAAAGAGGACTTTTTTTCCAGTAATCATTGATCCGATTTAGTCGAATTGTTCTCATGTGGAAAAGTAAACCTAGGAAAACTTTGAGTTCCTCTACTGTCAGATCTTTCCAGCGTGAAATTCGGGAAAATTCAGAGCCTGTAGGGGACAGCAATACTTCTGGAGCATATGCATTTGTTTCTGTCACGATGAAGGCAAGCAAGTTTTCATCAAATAATAAAGCAAAAAAGTCAGCTGGTGAATTCCCTGCAAATGAAAAAAATAAATAAATATATATACCTGTATCACAAGAAATCAGAGTAAACAGGCGTACTCACCAGTAGGCTGTGAAAGCAATTCGTTTACGTAAAACGAATAGAAGTATCAATGTCAGAAGCAATGTTCCATTGCCTCACAGGCTGTGCCACTGCTTGTGGAGTAGCAAGTCCTGCAGCAACCTGTACGTTTTGAACAGCTGGTGTAGGTTGCAGTATGGGGTTATCGTTCGAGTCCTCATCAGAATCATCTAAGATGGATGGTTGTACAGAGGCTTCCATTTCATCATCATCGGGGTAATAGTCGCTATCTTCATCTCCACTTTCGGTTGCAAATGAATCCAGATCATCATCAGAGTCGTATAAAAGGCGCTCCAGCTCTGCATCGTTCAAAGGCTCCTTTATTTTTCGTTTCAAACCAGTTCTTTTTGGTCTTACGCCCGATGGCCCTGCCTCACTGTCCGCCATTGAAATTCAAAACTGATTTAAAATTTTTATTCTTTGTACACTTCCACACACGCTCACTCAAATACAACTACGCTCCAGCGATGCTCCTCTGAAAATAAATACTTTGAATCATACAATGCAAAAGGCGTGTATTCCGGCCGGCGCACTGGACGTGATATGCGCGAGACGTGTATACACGTCTTGAGCAGTGAATGGCTTAAGTAGCTGTAATTTTTTAGTTTGATGGCAAATACGACTAATTTAACAAAAAACACATATTTTATGGTTTTTCAAATCAAACGTATATTACAAATATCAAATTAAACATCAACTAGCTATAAAAAAGTGACTTATGTAACTAGGTGTCAAATGGACCAAGGTATAATATGGTCATGTACCTCGGACCAGACAGCATTGTTCCTTGGACCACAAAAAAAAAAAAAAAAACATTATTTTGAATATACTTAAAGCAAAATTTATATAAGATCCAAAATTCACTCCAAAACATAACAGACTTGCTATCCTAGCTGTGCCACCTACTTTACTAGGTGAGGCAAAAAAAAAAAACATTAACTTGAATATAACTGAAGAAAAACTTACATCTATTCTACTTTATAGGAGCCAAAATTCACTCCAAAACATAACATACTTGCTTTCCTAGCTGTGCCACCTACTTTACTAGGTGGAGGCAGTTTAGTAATGATATCCTCCAAGAGGAAACTATAGGTGGTGGGTGCGTCATTTATGAATTTATTAGTGTCTTTAAATCTTCGCAAGTATCTCACTTCTTTTTCGTTATTATCTTGACAATGCACAATTTCGCCTACGTAATAATGATGATTTTTTTTACCAGGAACCTTCACTAGTACATAATCTCCATTTTCTAATTCCCCATCTTCAAGTTTTCGTTCTAGAATATTTTATTCTTCTCTGCTCTTCAGAGTTTCTCTCCATGAATAAAATTCCTCTTCACTAGATTCACTATTAGCAGATATATCATCATTTTCTGACTCGGAGCTCGAAGAAATAGTTTTTGCCTTCTTGGGTCGAGTCATTTCTTTTTTAGTTGCACTACTTTTTTGTGGCTCTCCAAATACTTGCCTTTTCGCGCTTTTGGTGGGTTGTTTGGAAGCTGAGACTTCCAGTTTCTCTGGAGTATCAGTCAGAATACGAGACTTACCCCTTCGCCTTGGGATGTGGACGCAACATTTCCAGGGATACCAACAAACATGGTTTTTCTGCATTGAACTTTTCTTCCTTTGACGTACCGGGTTTCGGACTTTGTAAGGATTTAGTACCTTCCTCTGAAGTACCCGGTTTCGGATTTTCTATGGAGTTGGATCATTTTTATGATTTGCTTGTGGCCTCCGATAAATTTGAATATATTGGGTTTATTAGTAAAAGGACCATAGTACTTTTCGTGATCCTCCTCACGAAGGATTTGTGGCAGTTCGTTCCTTGCAAATTCTTCCACTTCTAGTAACAAGTTGTCATCAAGTTTGGCCAAAAGAGGAGCGTCTTGGTAGCCATTTATGGTTCACATATTTTTTATTGAATCTGGAATTTGGATGTCTAGAGCAGATTCTGCCTCGGAAAAAGCATCAGTGTTCACTTGATCCACCTCCTGAAATGATAAGGAAAAGGTAGCTTCAAGAGATATGGGGAAATAAATCGGATCAATTTTTTGTATGCAACTTACGTCCATCGTGATACTGAGTTTTCAATTCACCTTGTAGTGTTCGCTTTGTGGTAAGTAAGTACCTATATCACATTAATATAGCTTGTTGTAGAACAGATTTCTATGATAAAATATCTTTATGAAGTTTGTAATATTATAAGTTTTTTTGCTGTTATAAGCTTTCAATAAAATAAAACATGTCTAACGACGGTTCTCTATGAATTAATGTATAATTATTTACCCAATAGATGTTCCCAATACAATAGGCTTCTGCTACAATTTAGTTGCTTAATAATATATTAACTTAAAGAATAATTACCAATACAGCATATTTACACTAGCAACATAATTACTTATTCTAGGTCGACCTATTTCTATCAAAAACTACTTAAATATTTTTTACCTAAAACTTCCCTATGCTACCTTATACTACACCTCTATCTATTTGAAAAAAAAAAAAAAAAAAAAATTGAGACTATACAAAATACTTTTTAACCTTATTTTTATGTAGGGGAGAGGGGGGGACATTGGGACACTACGAATATAAGTAGCTGTGTATTGCTTGGCTTTCAATATATTGATCATATAATGTTATGGTGTTGACATTAATAAGTGTACTATCTATCACCATAGGCTTAGCGCTTATCCAGTAATAGATGGATCAGATTTTGATATTTTCCCAAGTATCCAAAATTGTCCCAATGTGCCCCTTGGCTGGGGTAGATTTGGACAGGGTAGGGGCAGATGTGGACAAAAACAAACTGCTTTATTCAAAAAGTTTTAGTCATATTCATTTGGTGAATAAAGGTGGTACGATCCAACATAAGTCGTATAAACAGTAAAAAAAAAAATAAAAGACATCAAACACAATATTTTCATTTCATTTAGTTGACATTATAGGCACGGAAGTCTACTTGAAACCGCTTTATTGAACTAGACCTTGCAGTTGTTTCAGACGTTCTTGGCTTAGGTAATTTTAGTTCCACTTGTTCCAATTCTATGAGGTCTTTATCAGTGACTTGGGGAAAGGTAAATCCAGTTCCTTTCTTTCTGAGAAAATTAGTTAAATATTTTCCGTCGACTATTTCTTCCACTTCTCCAATATAATATTTTTGGGTTTTCTTCGTGCAATATTTGACCAGTAAAAAGTCACCGATTTTGATATTTGGCATCCCAGATTCAGGATCTATGATAGCGTCTACATCTTGCATGAATTCTTGGTCGGAATTTTCACGGTCCATTTCACTTAAACAGTCAGATTCATCATCAGCGTAGCTCACTTTATCCCCGGAATCTTCTGAGTCATTCGCTTGTTGCTCTACATTATCAAACAGCCTATGTTTAACTTGCTTCTTCTTTTCCTTGGCTATTTTTTCTTCTTCTAGTCTAGCTTTTTCTGGCGTCTCTGTTAGAATTCGTGATTTTCCAGGCCTTCTTCCTTTTAAAATTGGTTTCTTTTTCTCTGCTTTGGGGTAGGGCCGTATTATGTCTGGAGATATGACATCCGGCTGTAATGAAGTTGAGGAAGTGCTACTGACCAACGCAGATGTTGATGGTGCGTCTGTTGCTTCTCGAGCCCTTGAATCTGTTACAGATGCAGCAGCGAAGTCATCTTCCTTAAAAATACCTCTATCAAAAGGCACAATACCGGTTTTTCTAAACCTAGAACATATATTGGCCAGTGTAAAAGCTTTCTGATACGCTTTTTCTGTCAATTCTGCAATTTCATAAATGGATACCCTTTTGCCAGGATGGTTTACCAGCCAATCATTGAAAGCTTGCTTTAAATAGGTTTTAAATGGGCCATAAAGCGCAACGTCAAGAGGCTGAAGGCGGTGCGTACAATGTGGGGGAAACGTAAGGAAAATAATTCCATTCTCTCTACAATATAAAATAGTTTCGAGACTGGTGTGGGACTCATGGTTGTCCAAAACAATCAATATAGGTTCATATTTCGTACATTTCGTATGCTTCTGTATGTGTTTAATTAGATCCAAGAATAATATAGATGTCATCCATCCTGACCCTGATTTGTTGGCTAACCCAAGTGTTATACCCCTACATAACTACCTTTATATTGTTAACATCTTATATTATTAAGTCTATATTTAATCATTCTTGTATTTTTCCATATCCTGTTTCGAAATCTATTAATTATTGTAATTTGCGTCATTCAACTATTGATAACGATAATAATCTAGGTCAAACATCTGCTATCTTTACGAAATCTTATCAGGTCCAGGAGGCTAGCGCGTGATCAGTTTTAACGCATTTTCCTTTGTTCCTAATGACGCAGGTTGACAATATAAATTGCTTCTTTTGCATTCAGAAGCGTTCACTCATTAGACTAACAACCCAGCTTACAGTTCTCTCCATTTACGTATACTTTGTTATTTTTGTCAATAAGTTTAATTAATTTAAATAAATAAATCCAAAGTTAGTTCTCCAAGCGTTTTTACTTGACCAAAATACATTGTATTCCGAGGATCCCAACATAAATTGGCGCTGCGGACAGGATTTGGTCCTTGCTCTGCGGAAAATTGAACTTCTCCGACGTCCAATTGATAAACCAGCTGCAAGCCGAGTTTTACCTCCAAGACCAAAACCACGAATCTCCCGGAATCCAAGGAATCATATTGACTTAAGTAAGATCCTTTTTCTTCCCTACTAACCAATTTATATTTTTATTGTTGTTTAATTTTTCTCAAGAGTGCTCCAATTTTTATTTCTTTTATTTCTTAACTTTTGAAACAAGTGCTATTTTATTATTTTAATACTTTTGATAACTTTTGAAAGAAAATTCTTTGAAAAACTTCTTTAAATATCTTCTTTTTTCAAATTCTTGTTTTAAGTAATTGTTATTTTTATTTCCTTTTTCATTTTTTTTTACTTTTGTACTATTTCCTCTCAAATATGTTACCGTCAATGACTGACGCAACAGACAACTCAACTATAACCACCACTAATGCCCCATCGTCTTCTCAATCTACTAGCTTACCAGCACATACAAATTCTGGTATTCCATTGACCTTTTTGTGTTCATTAATTTCTAAAACTTTTGACGGAAATCGAAATGATTTACCCGAATTTATTTCAAATTGTGAAAATGCTTTTAAATTTTCTAATGATTTTCAAAAAGATCCTTTATTAGCTTATATAATTTCGAAAATAACTGGAAGTGCAAAAGCACAAATGAGAGATAAACCCATCGCCGAATGGCACGACCTAAAAACTCTTTTAGTACAACTGTTTTCTGACAGAAAACATTACACTCAAATTATGGAAGAACTTAATACAATTAAACAATTTCAAAATGAATCCATTATAAATTTTTATAATCGAA